AACTGGCTGCCATTGGTGTCTGGTCCTGCATTGGCCATCGCAAGGATCCCAGCCCCAGTGAACTTCAGGTCTGGGTGAAGTTCGTCCTCAAACTGTTTGCGGTAGAGATATGCACCTCCTCGACCTGTCCCTGTCGGGTCACCATCCTGGATCATGAAGTCCTTGATGATCCTGTGGAATTTGGGGTCGCTGTAGTAGCCCCAGCGAGCCACCTCTGCAAAGTTCTTGCAGGTCTTCGGCGCATGCTTCCAGTACAGCTCCAACACAATGACCCCCATGCTAGTCTCCAGGTAGACTTTGGGCAGCTGCCAGGTGTCAGGGGGGATCGACGCCATGCTGACGAACGTAGCCTAAATCTGATTTTATCATGGAATATTTTGTTTACTCCGTCTATGTTGATTGAGCATTTTGCTGGGTATAATAATCTGGGTTGGCATCCATGGTCTCTTAGTGTCTGCCTAACGTCTGTCCAGGAGCTTCTGGCTTTTCTCTATTGTGTCTTCAACGCCAGAGATAAGCTCTTCTGTATCTTGCAATCTGTTGGTTATGCTTGCATCTGTAGTTCCTATTCATTTACTCAGATTTTCCACTTCCAGCAGTCCTTATGTTTGTGTCTTCTTTGTTGTCTTCAGTTTTCAAATCTTGAACTGTTTCCCTCACTTGTTTAATTGCTCTCTCTTTGCTTTCTTTAAGGGATTTACTGATTTCTCGCATTGTTTAGTTGGACTTTTCCTCAACTTCTTTAAGGGAAATTTTCATTTCCTCTTTTAAGATGTCGAATATCTTTTTAAACTCACATTTATGGTAGATATCTTGTGTTTCTTCTGTGTTGGGATGTTCAGGTCTCGCTGGTGTAGGTTCTGATGGAGCCATATTGGTTTTTATGTTGTTGACTGTATTTTTGCACTGGTGTCTACACATCTCTTTCTCCACTTGGTGCAAGTGGTGTCTGTGTCTGAGGGAGCCTCTCTTGGTTTGATAGATACTCTTGGTCCAGTGGGAGCTCTTGGTCTAGTAGGTGCTGATGGACTCTTTGTCTCAGGGAGCAGATCTTAGTTCAATTGGCCCTCTTTCACTTCATTAGTCCAATGGGGTGCTGACTGGCTCTGTCCTAAATACAGGTTTAAAGCATATAATATATATTAGTGTAATATATATATATTATATATATAATATTACAATATTATATATATATAATATATATATTATATATATTACATATTTATAATTGTGTATATTATAATATTTGCTTATTATTATGTATAATCCCACTAGTTAAGACTTAGAATATATTATACTATATAGCATAATCATAATTTAATAATCACAACTCTGCAGTAAGTATAATACATTACACTATACACACATTCCCATAAGGGTTTGCACGATACATTTCCATACATGCTTATACTGTACCTGATCATATTCCCCTGCACTACATCAGTTCCCGACCATGTCTTTGTGACAGACACTGTGACTTTCACACAAGCCTAGCCCTCTCCTTCCTCATGACCAGGATAAACTGGGTAGATCCTGGTTCTGTTAGTGGAGCTGCTTTGTCTCCTGTAGAACTCTATCTAGTTGAGCTACTTTCCTTAGAACACAACAGTTCTCTGGTCTCTGTGCTGAGCATGGATTCTCCC